CCCCTGCGGCGGCGAGAGGAGGGTTCCAGCACGTGCTGCGGCGGTTGCACCAGGTCCCACCATGTTCCCACCTGCCTGTCAGCTTCCATGAATGGAGCCGTGTGTGATGAGCTCGCGCAGGGACGCTGGCCCGGGTCACCGAGAACACAGCGTGTGACAAACTGATGCATAAACATAGAGACACGGGGCTGTGACCACGGCTGAGCCCCGCTCAGGGCACACGCGGCCTTCGGGAGCAGCCGCGGGCTCTGGCCCTGCTGCTCCGGCACCTCTCATTGCCCTGTCCTGCAGGAAAGGGTCGCGTGGCACCAGCCAGGGGGCTGTTTTGGGAGACAACTGTCATTTATGACCCTATTTGCTGCCATAGCAGTGGCAGCTACCACAGATTTGCACTGCAAATTAAAAACAACAGGAAAAAAAAATCTGGTGTTTGGGCCAGAGCGCACTTTGCCAGGGAGCAAACATGAACCTGGGGATCTGCGAACACCGTTCGCTTCTGCACATGCTGCCCTGAGAGGACTCGTAGGGGTCTGACTCGGATGCGGCTCTTCCCACCGGGGTTCCTGCATGGAGCGATGCTTCCCTGCAATGTGTGCCCCACGGCAGCGAGGAAGAGCACTTACCCAATAGAATAAGTAGCAAAAATAAACAAACAAATAAATAATAAAAAGGCCTGTTACTATGGCTCCCTAAGGGACCCCAGACAACAGTTTTTGCAGCCTCTCCTTCAGAAGTCACACGCGCCTGGAGCTCCTCCTCATTGCGGGGATGATTCCTCCGGCAGGGAGGCCCCGGCCTTGTGCGCACGGGGATGAGGCGGCAGCGGCTCTGCCTGGAGCCCAGCACCAGCCGCCCATGCAAGCCCCTGCGATGCCTGAGAGCTGCCCGGGGCCTGGGGACAGGGGACAGGCTGCACCGTGGCCACAGGCAATGGAGAAGAGGCCCCAAGACAGCGCAGAGCCGTCCCCACCGTGTCCGTCCTGGAGATGCGCAGGTCCTCCAAAAGCAGCAGAGAGGGAGGGAGCCCCGGCCTGGTCCTCGGCTGGGAGCTTTCCCATCCCAGCACCCAAGTCGCTCATCCCCAAGGGATCCCGGCCTCTGGCTCGATCGGGTCCCAGCTCATCCCCATCCCAACGCCACAGCTCTGGCTCTGCCAGCCCTCCGGTTCCTGGCGTGCTCGGGAACGCACCAGTTGTTCCCCCATTTGCTGCCTCCCTCCTGGAGAACGTCATGATTAAA